TTATTATTTTACTTCTGCTTGCTTTGGGCTTAATTTACTTTTATTTTTCTAGTTCCTTAAATGGAAGCTTAGATTATTAATTTTTTGTTTGTTTGTTTCCAGTCTAAAAATTTTTATTTTTTCCTAAAAGTTTTATAGTTTTACATTTACTACCATGTACCTTATTTTTTTTTTATTGTATTTGGGCTCTGGGGTACATGTGCACATCCTACATCCTGCAGGATTGTTTCATAGGTACATACATGCCATGATGGTTTGACGTCTCTATCCCCTCCCCACCATCGCCTACATCAGGCATTTCTCCTGGTGTTATCCCTCCCCCTCCTCCCTACCCCCTCGTCCCCCCTTCCCTCACCTCTACCCCTCCACCTAGCCCTGTGAGTGTTGTTCCCTTCCCTGTGCCCAAGTGTTCTCATTGTTCATCACCCACCTATGAGTGAAAACATGTGGTGTTTGGTTTTCTGTTCTTCTGTCAGTTTGCTGAGAATGATGGTTTCTAGGTTCATCTATGTCTCTACAAAGGACATGAACTCATCGTTTTTTATGGCTGCATAGTATTCCATGGTATATATGTGCCACAATTTTTTTTGTCCAGTCTATCATCGATGGGCATTTGGGTTGGTTCCAGGTCTTTGCAAACGTAAATAGTGCCACAATGAACATACATGTGCATGTGCCTTTACGATAGAATGATTTATAATCCTTTGGGTATATACCCAGTAATGGGATTGCTGGGTCAAATGATGTTTCTTTTTCTAGATTCCTGAGGAATTGCCACACTGTCTTCCACAATGGTTGAACTAATTTACACTCCCACCAACAGTGTAAAAGTGTTCCTTTTTCTCCATATCCTCTCCAGCATCTGTTGTCTCCAGATTTTTTAATGACCGCCATTCTAACTGGTGTGAGATGATATCTCAGTGTGGTTTTGATTTGCATTTCTCTAATGACCAATGATGATGAGCATTTTTTCATATGTTTGTTGGCCACATATTGTCTTCTTTTGAAAAGTGTCTGTTCATATCCTTCACCCACTTTTGAATGGGTTTGTTTGTTTGTTTCCTGTAAATCTGCTTTTGTTCTTTGTAGATTCTGGATATTAGCCCTTTGTCTGATGGGTAGATTGTGAAAATTTTTCCCATTCTGTTGGTTGCCGGTTTACTCTAATGATTGTTTCTTTTGCTGTACAGAAGCTCTGGAGTTTAATTATTTCTAGCACAAAAATTTAGTTTTATACATTTTCATCTCAGCACAGCTTTACCTGTGTCCCACAAATTTTGATACATTTTATTTTTATTTACAGTTCAATGTAGTTTTTATTTCTTTTAAGATCTCTTTAACCCATGAATTTTTTTTAAAGTATGCCTTTTAATTTCTAAGTGTTTGTAGATTTTCATGTTGCCTTTCTGATATTGTTTTCTGATTTGATTCCATCATAGAGAAAACATCATGTGTTATTTCAATTCTTTCAATATTTTGTGGATTGTTTTTATGATCAAGAATATGTCTATATTGGCATATATTCCTTGGGTGTTTGAAATAATGTAAATTATATTCTTTTCCTGTGGAGCATTCTACACATTTCATTTAGGCCTTATTGAAACCTATTGTTGGATTCTTCTACATCTTGCTGATTCTCTGTATATTTGATCTATCAATTGTTCAGAGAAGGTGTTGAAGTCTCCAACTATGAATGAATTTTTCTATTTCTCCATTCAGTTATAATAATGTTTGCTTCCTATATTTGCAGCTTTTCTGTTTAAAGCATACACATTTAGGAGTGCTATGTCTTATTGGTGGATTGACACTTTCACCATTATGTAATGTCCCTATCTGTCCCCGGTATTTTTTGTTGTTGTTTTTGCTCTGAAGTCTACTTTATCTGATATCACTAGAACCACCTCTGTTACCTTTTAAAATTAATATTTGCATGGTGTATCTTCTTACATCATTTTACTTTCAACCTTTCTAAATCATTATATCTGAGGTGAACATCTTGCAACAGCCTATCATTGGATCCTGTTTTCTTTTTTGCCAATCTCTGTCTTTTAATTGGTATGTTTGGACCATTTTCATTTATTGTACTTATTGATAATGCTTAATTTTGCCAATTTACTTTTGTTTTCTCTTTGTTCTCTGGTTTTTTATTTTTCTATTTTCATTTTTCTGACTTCCTGTGGGCTACTCGAACAATGTTTAAAATTCCATTTGTTTCATTTATAGCATTTTTGAATCTATCTTTTTGTATAGCATTTTTAGGGGTTGCTCTAGATATTACATTATATATGCATAACTTATAATAATCTACTGGTGTCAACATTTTGCCGATTTCAATGAAACCCTACCTCTCTTTTCACCCCTTTATTCTCCTCTTTATAATGTAGTTGTGTTAAATATTCCTCCCACATACTTTACAGACACATCAGACAGTGTTATAATTGATGTTTTAAGCTTCAAACATAACTTGGAAAACTTAAGAGAAGGAAAATCCATTATGTTTACCCATGATTTTTTCTCTTTCCATTGGTCTTTATTCCTTTCTAATGTTCAATACGCTTTCTTTTATCATTCCCTTTCTGCGTAGAGAATTTTCTTTAGATGTTCTCTTAGTAGAGGTATGTTGTTGACTAATTTTGTTAGTGTCTCTTAATCTGAGAATGTCTTGATCTTCCTTTCATATCTGAAGCATATTTTCACTGAATATAGGATTCTGGGTTGACAGTTTTCTTTATTCAGCTCTTGAAAAATATTATGCCACTTCCTTCTGGAAACCATGGTTTCTGACCAAAAATTCACTCTTATTCAAATTGGTTTTCTTCTATACGTATCATTTCTGTTTCGCTGCATTCAAAGCTTTTCTCTTCATGTTTCAGGAGTTTTGTTATTACAGGTCTTGGAGTGTATTTCTTTACATTTATACTGTTCGAGCTTCACTCAGCTTCTTAAATTTCCAGATTTATGTCTTTTGGCAAATTTAGTGAGTTTTCAGCCATTATTTCTTGGAATACTTTAGCCTAATTCTCTTTCACTTCTCATTCTGGAATTCCAGTGACTTGAAAGTTGGATCTTTTGTTTATAATCCTATGTGTCCCTGAGTCTATGTTTATTTTTTTTTCTAGGATATTTTCTCTCTGTTGTTCAGATTGATTGTTTCTGTTGTTCTACCTTAATTCTTTCCTCTGTTCTTACCATTCTCCTCTTGATTCTATTCATTGAATTTGTTTGCATTATTGTATTTTTCAGTTCTAAAAGTTCCATTTGCTTCTTCTTTATATTTTCTGTTTCTTTGTTGAGAATTCTGATTTGTTTGCTGAGACTTTCTGTGTTTTTTTCATTTGTTTCCAAGCATGGTTGCAATTGTTGTTTGAAGCACTTTAATGATTACTGCTTTAAAATCCTTGTCAGGCAATTCTGACATCTGTGTCATCTTTCTGTTGGCATCTGCCAATAGTATTTTCCATTCTGTTTGATATCTTACTGGTTCTTGGTATGACAAGTGCTTCACCACTGAAACTTGGGCATTTTGGATATTACATTATAAGGCTGGATCTTATTTAAAATCTGCTTTAGCTGACTTCCTCTGACACTGCTCTGGCAGGGAAAGGGGCACCATCTTAATCTTCATTGGCATCAGGGAGGGTGGCACTCTTCATTACTGCTGGGCAGGGGTGAGGATTCCAGCTCCCCACTAAGCTTTTACTGATACTTCTCTAGTGGGGATGGGGAAGGGCACCTCATTACTGCTATGTGGGGGTGGAGCCGAGGCTCCTCGTTTGGCTTTTGCTGATGGAATATAATAGGACTGCATTTTCTTCTATGGTATTTGGCTAGAGTAGAGCAGTTATTGTCTAAAAGTTTTCAGTCTTGCTAGGCTACCCATTTCTTGGTCCGTTGGCTAAAAAGAGCAGGCTCTTGTTGGGGTTTCTTTGTCAGTGTTCATAAGCATTCTGGGTTTCTGGCTTCTTCAGCTCCAAGTCTGGTATATATGAGGCAAAAAGAAAATCCAGAATACTCACCACTGCATCATTGCTCAGGTCCCAAGATCCCTAACCAGTACACCTTTTTCTTTCCACCTTTTGGTGTCTTATTATGTTTGTTTTATATGTAATGTCCAGAGGTTTTAGTGATACTCAGTGACAGAATGGGGAAAAGTACTTCATATTTCCAGAGGCAGAGGTTTAGACACTGAGATTTTAGAGCCCGATGCTGTACTGCCAAGGAGGCTTATGGGAAGTAGAGCTGTCCTCATATATTAATGTCCTAGCAGAGCTTTTATTTCATGTCTGCATCATGAAAAACAAAAAGAAATGAAACTTTACCTGGGTTTGCATATATCTACTTATCCATCATGGAGGAGTAGCCATGATCATAGCCTGCCCAGTCACTTTCCTGTAAATCGGTGCACCAGAGTTTCCTGAGCCCCTTTCAACATTCATTGCTTCCATCCTATGTCTATCAGGCTTTGAACTGTTAGTCAGCTCACTTGGCTGTATCCTAACAGTGTCACAGTTGGTGGCTGCTTCTTCTATGAACCATAAGTCATACTCTAGTAGAGCTGAAGAGGCCCTAAGCCATCACCTAATTTAACCACCATGTTTTCATATAAGGAAACTGTATCTCAGAGAACAGAGGAGCATTTCCCTGGATCCCGCTGTATATTACACAAAAGCAAATCCAGACCTAGGACACAGATTCCATGCCTGTAAGCCCAATGTTATTTTAGTTGCAACAAGCTGCTCCTCCATCCACCCCTCTGCCTTCCAGTGAACTTTGTTCTGCCTCTGGTCAAGGACTGTGATTTTATCCCAGCCAACTGTCTCACAGAAATGCCCCACATCCTTGGGGGTGGGGGTACTCAATGAGGGTGGTGGGTGGGAAGAGGGGAAAAGGAATGTGGCTGACTCCACACAAACCTGTCTTCAGAGTGAAAGTCTGTGATTCACGGGGTCAGTGGTCTCATCTTCATATCTGAAAGACAGTGTACTTTTTGTCTCCCTAAGCCCTGTGTCTAGGTCGTTTGAGAAACGCCTTGGAGAGTCAAGAATAAAATTGCAGGTCAAACAATGGATGACTGGAAAAGTCGGCTTGTAATCAAGAGCATGCTTCCCCATTTCGCCATGGTGGGAAATCGTCAGGAGCCCAGAAAGCTCCAGGAATCGGTCAGACAATGGGCTATGGGGGGAGGGGGGTGTTGAATGCTTCTAATCTTAAACTTGAACGTAAGATGTGTTATTGAAATTTTCTGTGTAAACTTAGTGGCAGGAATCCAACCCAAAATATAAGGAACTCAAATCTGATCCAGAAGAGATATAGGAGATGTGCTGATCCCACCCCTTGTAGGTTTCTAGAAGAACTAGAAATACAGTTTAAGGCTACATCTGGATTCCCAGTTTAGTGATCACTGCACTGCACCCATTCAATAAGAAAAATGAGGAAAGATGAGAGAGGAAAGAAGATTTTACTTTTTCTCCTAATAGAAGCCACTCAGAATGGCAAGCACTAGGTATATTGCATGAGCTTCCTAGAATGACTGAGAACAAAAAGCTAGTGCGTAGGACACAGAAAGGGCTTCCCATTCAACTTTCTGGCCCTGTTGTCATTTTAAAAACTCACCTGACACACTTCTACTGTCTTCTCAGGGAACTCAGACATCATCCAAGTGTTCTGAAACTCAGGACTAGGGATTCCAGTGGTAGTTCTAGGGGCAGGATGATGATAGAAGGGACTATGAGAGCCATTGGCTAGTTTAATTTGACAACAAAAGCCTGCAACACCACCAATCCACCAAGATTAGCTCTGTTAGCAGGAGTTGCAGCAAACACAATAGCTGTTATCTCAGGGTATTAGGGCCACAGAGGAGTGGCTTGCTTAATCTCTGAAATTAATAGAGCAGAGAGGAAATAGCTCTTATAGAGCCGTGGGTCTGCTTCCTCCCTTTTCATAGAACTGGAAGCCCTGGGCTCTGAGGTAATGCCACTTCACATAACTAGAGGGCCTGTCTTCTCCAATTCCCAGGGCAATCCACTTTCAGCAACTCAGCTTTCTATTTATTTTTTAATTTTATTTTAAAAATTCTGATACAATTCCACAGATGTGGAAGGGGGTGATTGAAATCTTATCTCCTTTTTTCTTCATTGCCAACCACCAAAAACATATTGAGAATGTGCTATCAAGTTAAACATATAGACATTGACAAAACTTTGTTTACTGGAGTCCCCAGCTCTCACAGAGACTGTAGTCAGGTGGATGGCAGAAATGGAGACATTACTTAGTCAACAGCTGGCCCAAGTTGCCAGGCCTTACGTCTCTTCTAGAAAGGAATATCTAACCTCCTTCCTAATTATCCTTTATATTTCTTGCTTCTTGTTTATGATCAACAATTGAGTCAGTAAAGAAAAACTTCATAATGCTCCCAGAGTCCATGATCAGTTTTAGTTTGACTTTACATTTCTCTTTTGTTTCCCACTTGTTTCCATTCACTTGGGCCAAATTCTAAGAGAAAGGGTTGATGGACTGTGGATACAGTCCCCTTCTCCCCGACTCCATCAGCACTCTTAAAAAGTGTGACCAGTACATAACTCCTTTGGTTTTGATCAGTGTACAGCTGAGTGCACATATTCCAGGGAGGGTTGTCCTTAGAATAGGTCCTTGGAGCAGCCATCTGTGCTTTTACTCTGGAGAAGCTGTCATTGCTTACGTCATTTCCGGGCTTGGCTTCTCTTTGCAGATGGCCTTTAGAGCCCTTTGTAAGCTTTGCCAAAAATTCACATTCATTGCTTTAGGGTCACACTTGGAACTTGATCAGGATCAGCCCTCTGCCTCCTCTATGCCACACCTCGTCCTCTGAAAGAGTTCTCTGTGGAGTTCTGAGTGGCTTGAGTATTTCTAAAACTTCAAGCTGTCCTAGAACACCAAGAATTCACCCCAGTTGAGGAGATAAAAGAATTTTAAAAATTTGCCTCAGGCTCCAAAAGCAACTTTCTCAGATGGTCTTCTTCACAGTTGAAACAGCATTGGACAGCATTTAGAGAACCCACTTCTTTGACTGTGTGTGATAGGTGCTGCTGTAGGGGATCCCTGTAGCCTCAAGAAGATACCCAGCACTAACATGAAACTCTGCTGCACATGCTGAGGATCTCAGAATCTGGGTCTTTATGGACTAAGGTTGACCAAATAAAAGCAGAATGGGCTGTGAGTTCACCAGGAAACCTCCTGCCTAAACAAGTTATTGCTAAGCCTGGAAAGTGAGTAGTGGAAGGAGGTCCTTTGCAAAGCTGGGCTTGCATTTGCAGAGTGTAGCCTTAGCTGGATCTCAGATGTTTCCCTTGTTTGCTCTCTCTCTGACACTGCATAACACCCAGGGATGATACCCTGAACCCTAGTCCCAGGAAACCATGTGCATCTGGAAGCATGTTTCTTGCACCACTCTCACTCATCCTGAAAGCATTGCTAACAGAGATTTGCTTCAGGCATTCAGCTTAACTGTTTCTCTTGTTCTTTCCCAGAAAAGAAACAAACAAAAAACATGTTTCAAGTCAATCTCGAAATAAAATGATATCAGTCCCAGAGGAGAGTTCTGTTTAAGCAGTCCTTGAATTTACATGGAAACAATTGTGAGCGCCCTGGAAGGAAAACGTGCATCTGATGTGACGCTTGTTCTTGGCCTAAGACTAGGGCTCAAAACACCTAGGTTCTAGTCTTGTAGTTACTCCTCACTAGCTATGGGGCTTTGTCCATCTTTTTCCCTCTCTGAGAACAAAGTTCAAATGAACCAAGAGTAAGAATAACCACCTTTAAGTGAGCATTGACTAGGTGCTAGGCAGTTTGCTAAGCATTTGTGGGACAATATCTCCTATCATCCTCATGATAACCTTGGGAAGAAGAAGCTATTAATACGTCCAGGAAACCGAGGCTCAGAGAGGTTAAGAAATTTGACTGAAGTAACAGATAAAAGAAGTGACAAACTCAGAGGCCAGTGGCATTACCACTATACTCTAATGTCCATTGAAAACCACTAAATGCTGAACACATATCAGGCAGGGGCCATCATCATAAGAAATCTTAGTAATGCAGTACCTTTTCAGCATCTGTTCATTCATTTAATAGTGTAACTGCTTAATGACTCTGGCAATCTGGGAACAGAAAAGTTTGACCTTTTGAACACTTGGGCGAGTACCCAAGATTAATAAGGCATCCAGTCTCTGCAGTTAGTGTATGGAGTTTTAACAGGAGGCAGAACATTTGGTCCTTCCCTTTGAAGTTACGATTTCGATTCTTCCCATAGATTGGTAGGTCGAAGGATTGCTAATGTGAGAATCTAGAAGGCGTTAGCACTCCAATTTGCAAGTGTTCCAGAGCCTGCATGGAGTTGAGACTCAGTGTGCATGTCACATGCTGTCCCTGTCTCAGGCTACACCCCACTGTAAGTGGCAATTTCCTCCAGCTCGGAGCAGGCACCTATTCCCTTCATAAGGCAGCTCCTAGACAAAATGCCCCTCATACAAAGGGCATGAAATACAGTTGGAGGAGGAAGGGGACACAGTGCTCTTTGCACATCTTCTGTGTTCAGCTATTTAATGGTAAGAAGTGACTCCCTGTAGAGATTACAATGGGATGCCGTGCCCAGTATTTCTTCTGAGCTTCCCAATCAGTCAGTGGCTGAGCAGGGTGGGGGGATTTTTATTATTCTCCTTCTTTATGGATAAAGAGAATAAAGTCTGAGAAATTCAGTGATTTTCAGAAGGCTATCCAGAAGGTGGGGGTCCTACATCAAGGGTCCTCATTTGGGTGGCCCCAAGTGCAGAGTGCTTTCCACCTACGGTACGACAAAAAAACAACCCCTCAGCCCACATCTTTCTCATCTCTAAACACAAGTAGGACTGAAGAAGGTGGAGAGAGGAACCCTCAGTGTAACAGGGTATGTGGACGTTTGGATGGCTACAAAAATACTGACCCCATTCTATCTGTCCCTTTTCTGTAGACTGGTGACCTTAGACATACCCAGTAGGAGGAGGTCCAGTCACCTCCTCCCTTGGTGTGTGTGATGGGGTTAAAGATTTCTGCCCATCAGCTTGGGAGGCTGCAAAAGAAAAGTGCTGGACTCAGGAAGGGGGACCTCAGACTTGATCCAGGGTTGGAACAAGCTATTTGTGAGATTTTGAGCAGGTTTCTTTCTTTTTGAGGTCAGAGGGCATGGGTGTGAGCTCTAAGGGCCTGTCTATCTCTGGCCTCCTGCCACATTTCCAGGGTCCCTTCTCTGTGGCCAGCCCTGTGCTAGACCTTGAGCTCCAGGAGCTCATAGTCTGGGAGCAAATTATTTCCAGGTTTCCTCCACTGGGAACAAATCTATCTCACTCTGTAGTTCTTGATGAAACCTAGAGACAAGTCGTTGAGCGTCTCTCTTGTGCAAGGTACTTTGTACACAGTAGCTCATTTGCTCCTGTGTCACAGAGACTGATATTTCCACTTCCCCAGGGAGGAGACTGATACTCAGAAAGGATGGAGACTTTCCCAATGTCACACAGGCAGGCAGTTGTAAATTCAGATCTCAAATTGAGGTACCCTGCCTCCAACGCTTTTCCTACCCTGATGCTTTCCATTCCCAGATTAGGAGCTCAGGTAGCTCCAGGGCTTTCTGTAGGCCAGGCACTGTTCTCAGACAACCCATAAACAGGTAAAGAGTAGAAGCACATTTACTTCATTCCAGTGGTTCCCTTGAACCTTCCAATCAGCGTTGTCCACTGCCAAGCCTGGTAGAAAGCCAGGCTGCTTAAAAACCCCATGCAGGGGCAGCCAGCTGGGAACAGAGTGAGTTGTCAAAAGAGCTCCCTTAGAAGTCTCAAGAGAAAACCCAGGTTCAGAGCTTTGAGCCTTTGCCAGCATCCCCTGCTTCATTCGGGTTAAAGGTACGGCATGGGTGCAAGTCTGGCCCCAAGAGAGGGGCGCTCATGTGTATGGGCCCCTTCCAAGCCCCAGCTGACCCCAGGGGCCAGTTCATCTGGAGGCAACTGTCCCTGCCACTTACTGAGAACTTTCATGAGCCTCTGGGCCTCAGTCTCCACATCAGTAAAGTGGGGTTAATAACTCTGCTCTCTGCCTACATCAGGGTTTCGGGGATGGTAATGAACAAGTTATGGGTGCGCACATGCTCCCAACAACA